GTTCTGGTTACTAGAATAGTGCCTGGCATTAAGAAGGTGCTCAATAATTATTTGTTGAAGGAAGGAACTTGCTATACACCCTTGGACGAGTTGCTTCCTCCCTCTGAGTCCATTTCCTCCTCTGTATTATAGGATGTTAGTGTTCCCTTCTCCACTCCCTCACAAGTGAACAAACAGATGTGGGAACTTCCCAATTGCCCCAGAGCAGGGTTTCTCAGCTCAGCACCATCAGCATTTGGGGCTGGATAATTCCTTATCTTGGGGGCTGTCCTGTGCATGGTAGGAAGTTTAGTGGTATCCCTGGTCTCGACCCGACTAGTGCTGCACCCCACCCCTCAGTTGTGACAACCAAAAATGTCTCCAGACATTGCCCAATATACCCTGCAAGAAAAATTGCCCCAGTTAAGAACCACTAGCCCAGAGAAAGCTACCTGTGGGAGAGGGGCTGAGGGAGCAGTAGTGTGTGCCCTGAACATCCTGCCAAGGACAGAGGCCCCTGGGGGTTCAGAGAACAGTGACCTGGTTAGCTGGGCCCCTTCCTTTGTCTGTAAGGCCTGTGAAGTCACTCTGGCTCCTCTGCCAAAACCAAGGCCCTTTATGTCCAGATGGGAGGGGCAGGTGCCCCCAGGGACCTAGCCCTGGATTCTAGCAGCTTCCTGCCTGCCCCTCTTCCAGCTCAGGCTTCCTACTGGGTCACCTGAGAACTCCGTCTAACACCTGTCACTCCCCTGCTCTGGATCCTCCACTCTGCACCACCACCCACACCCTGCCCCACCTCTCAGCTGACATTGGAAACCCTCCTCCAACTGCCCGGCCTGATGGCCCCAGCTCCCAGGCACAAACTTCCTCCCTACCCAGGCCCAGTGACATTGTCCCAAGGATATCAGACACTGCTCCCTTTACTCCTACCACCTCCCTCTGCTGGGCTGCTCTCTCCTCCACTTGCTTATCTAAATCCAATCCTCTTGGGTTCCAGCATGCTCACTGCCTAGCTGTGTGACCCAGGGCAAATCTCTGCCTCTCCAAGCTATATCCTCATCTGTAAAACAGAGATGGGGAAGGTGTGACTTATCTCCCAGGGTAGGTAGGAGAATTAAGATTCATTTTTTGTGATAATAGTCCTGGAACTTAGTAAGTACTTGATACCTGTTTGTTATGATTGTCATGAATCACCAGATGCTTGATTCCTTAGTCTTGCTGAACAGGCTTTCTGGGGCCACATAAAGGAAAGAACCTGGTGTGAAAAGACTTTAGCTCTAGTTCTAGCTCTGCTTCCACCTCAAGTCACAATCTGAGTAAGCCTCTTAACTCAAAGAAGTCTCCTTCAAGCCTCAGTTTCCTATTCTGAAAAATGGGTACAGTAATTTGTGCTCCTGGAGCTATTGTGTTCCCATGAGCTAGAGGGTGTGAAAATATTTTTCAAATGACCGTACTGTGCAGCTGAGGGCCTGAATAGGCAGGAGACCTGAGGAACTGGACTTTTTAAGGGTCTGGCCAGAAGAAAGAGCTGACGGTATTTCTTGCCCAGTCAGGCCTCAAAGCCACTGTCCTTAAGAACAAAGGTACAAGCCACTTGCTGCCAAGTGATGGCACTGGACTGTGGGGTCTCTCTGCTGCTTGGGACACTGTGATATGTGGTTGACGGTGGCCAGGAGACAGTTCCTGGGCCTCCAGAGTCCATGCTTCTTCCTGAATGCCTTTTGATTTTGAGGTCTCAAAGAGGTTTAAGTGGACGGAGAACACACCTGGAAACCAGATGGGCTGCCTCAGAGCCTGCTTTTTGTTTTTATAAAACAGTATCCTAAGACCTGGAAAAGAGCTCTGACCTGTAAAATTGTGAACCCCAGGAGACAGGATTTGTTTCACTGGGTCTGTCACCTCTTCTGTGGATAAAGGATGGTGGAGGGATCGCCAGGCCCTGCACAGGTACTGACTTCTCAGAGGGAAAAAGGTGTTGCCATGTCCCCAGCTGGGTATCTCTTGTCTGAAGGCTGTTATTCCCACCAGCCCTAGCCTCTGAGAGTCCAAGAGGGAGGCCCGAAGACAGGACCTCTGTTTATGAGAAGGTGGACTTCAGCCTACCCTTTTGGAGTGTAAAAGCCAAAGAATCAGGCCACACCTTCTGCCTAATAAAAATGCCAGACCCTACGCCTAGCCCACCCTATAGGATGTTGGGCCCTGACCCCTGTGGATCAGGTCCTGCCCCCTAGCCCTGCCTCTACAGCCAGAACTGACCAATGAGTGGTAGACCCCGCCCCTGGGCCCATCTAATGAGTGTCCGTTCCTGTCCTTATCCAGGCCTCTGGGCTTCAAGCCTGCAGATCAGGGCCCAGGAGTTGGCACTCAGTGCAGCATGGATTTCCTCTGTCCCATAGGCTTATTTCTGTAGGCTCAATCTCAGAACCACTGAAAGTCCCCTTGGCTGCCTCTTTGAGTGCTCTCCCCACTCAACAGCAGCACCAGAAGTGGCCTTCATTGTCCTACTTTTAAGCTTAAGAGTGTGGGGCTGAGCCCTCCTGCCCGGGTACCCGTCTCCCCCTGGTCTTTCTACCCTGAGCCTCAGTTTCTGCCTGTTTCTAGTCCTCTCAAATCATCCCGTGCACCTCAGGTATAAGGCACAGTTTCCCACGGGGCACTCAGAACTGCAGCTGCCCACCCCTTGGCATTGTGTCCGCTCTGCCCCTCTTGCCCCTCCACCATAGACGCTGAGTATGACCCACATTCCATAGCCAGTAGGAGTGGCCCCACATGTGTCTGATTAGATTCTTCTCTCCTGAGCTCCCCCACATACACACCCCTCCTATAGCCCCTCCACCTCCTACCTCCGACCCCACTGTGGGGTGTCAGAGCTGGCTGACCCAGTCCCCACATTCCACGCGGCAGAAGCCTTCTGGTTCTGACAGGCTGTGCTGTGACCAAGGACAGGATGAAACGTCCATCCACTGACTCAGTGTCTTCCTTCTCATGGCTCCCTCCTCTGTGTCCCTAGATAGGGAATTGTGTTTCCATCAACCCCTCTATTCATAGGGCTCCTAGTTTCCCTACAGCCCTCTGACCTCTAAGAACAGGAGAGAAGAGTGTAAAATTCAAAACTAAATCTGTTCCTTGCTATAAGCCAACAGTAAGCTTTATCAGTGGACGTATGAACAGGAGCATAGTTCAGGGACTGGCTGTCACTCCCTGCTGGGGACGATTGTCATCATCGAGGCATTTTATTTCTGTGCATGTACACATCCAGCAGAGGTGACAGAAGTAGGAGGTAACCTCCAGCCAAGTGTAATCATGCCCTCCTCCACTGGATAAGGAAAGCATCAGAGATTCAGAGAGAGGAGCCCTTCCTTTGCTCCAAGGAACTGGTGGCAGGATTCTTCTCTTTTTCTCCCTCTGTCTTGCTCTGCCCTGGAAATGGTCATCCAAGCTAAGGAGAGCCAATCCCAGGTTCCTCCTTCTGGCTGAGCATCAGCTCCCTCAGGGAAGCAAGAGTAAACAGAGTCTTTGACAAGAGTTCGTGAGACTTTGAGAGCCAGACCTGTTAAGCCAGTGTGGCCAGCCCAGAGCCGGCTGACCCAGCCCGTGCTGCCTGCCCAAAGAGCAACACAAGTAGGGTCAGTTTAATTTGGTGAACCTTTCTGGAAACCTTCCGCATGCCAGACCCTGTGCTGGGCACTGGGCACACAAGGGAGAGCCTAGTTGGATAGTACCCAGTTCTTGCCCTCCTGGTGTAAATGGGGTTAAGATATCGGCACAGAAAACTACACCATGTATCAGGAGAGGGGTGCAAACAAAGCTAAACAATTTGGAGGAAGGAGTGAGCACACCTGCTGGGCAATCAGGAATGCTTCCCTGAGGATGATGGGCCCTGGAACTGAGCCTCATGAGGTGTGATTACTACAAGCAGAGAGGAGCTGGTGGAGGAAGCAGTCTGAAGGAAGGCTTTGGGCCCGAGTCGGGTGGTGGATGTTAAGTGAGAGGCAGGCAGGAAGAGAGGCCTGGGGATGGACTGCACATGGTCTTGATTAGTCCTGGCTCTGCCAACATTTGCTAAGTGACTTGAGACAAGTCATGCCTCCTCTATGGGTCTCAGTTTCCCCATCTGTCAAATGGGAGAGTTGGCCTAGAATCAGTAGTTTTCAACTCTTTCACTCTTTCAGACCCCTGATCTGCTTTTCATAACAAATAATTTGTAATGTCTCGAAGATAATAAGATAATAAAATCTTTTCACAATTTCAAGAATATATATATGATATATATTTATTTATAACAAACATTAGCTTATTTATAATAAACTGTTGTGTATATTAATATGTAGATGCTTACAACCACACTAGAAAACAATGAAAGAGTCAGGTGCTCACACCACAGATAAAACATCATTCTGCCTCAAATGCAGTCCGAGACAGGTAGGTTATAGTGGTCAATGGTGTTGCTCTTGGAGATGCATTTTTCAAAAAAGTGAACAATTCTTAGTCAGGTTCCAGACAAAACAAATTCAGTCATCCCCCATTTTACATAGTAGTTGTGTTTCAGAATATTCAGTATATATTAAAAGTGCACAAAAAATTATTTCTTGTTTATATGTCAGATCTTGTTTATACTTCAGATCATGGTAAAGAATTTTTTTCATCCATGTAAATATCTGGTGAAGCATTTGAAATTCTGACTGGGGGGTGGGGCATGGGGCCACCCTGTGTGTTTCATACAGGGCATTTAGCATCCCTAGTTCCCATCTATTGAGACCACCCAAACACCCCCACAACTTTCTTAATCACCCCATAGGGAGATTATCCAGCACCTGAATAATCTTTAAGGCTCCCTACCAACTCTGAAATTGCCCAACTCTGGACCTCATTCAGATTTATTCAACAAATTTTTATGAAATGCCTTGTCCCAGGGTATCATCAGTGAACAAGCAGCCATAGCTCCTGTCCCTGCAGCCAGGTTTAAATCTGAAAGGGCCTTAGCTGTCATCCTTCCATTTCACAGAGGAGGAAGCTGAGTCCCAGAGAGGGCAGGCTTGCATTCAGCATCACACAGCCTCTTAGGGACCCAGAACCCAGCCTCAGGGAGGCACCGTAGGGTGGGTCCACAGCCTTCTCTCCACTCATCTTCTCTTCCTCCTCCGTCCCCGCAGTGCCAGCTGCCCTGACCCTGGACCCGGGCACCGCCCACCAGCGCTTGATCCTGTCCGACGACTGCACCATCGTGGCCTATGGCAACCTGCACCCACAGCCCCTGCAGGACTCACCAAAGCGCTTCGACGTGGAGGTGTCGGTGCTGGGCTCCGAGGCCTTCAGTGGTGGCGTCCACTACTGGGAGGTGGTGGTGGCAGAGAAGACACAGTGGGTGATCGGGCTGGCCCACGAGGCCGCCAGCCGCAAGGGCAGCATCCAGATCCAGCCTAGCCGCGGCTTCTACTGCATCGTCATGCACGATGGCAACCAGTACAGCGCCTGCACCGAGCCCTGGACGCGGCTCAACGTCCGCGACAAGCTCGACAAGGTGGGTGTCTTCCTGGACTACGACCAAGGCCTGCTCATCTTCTACAACGCCGATGACATGTCTTGGCTCTACACCTTCCGTGAGAAGTTCCCCGGCAAGCTATGCTCCTACTTCAGCCCGGGGCAGAGCCATGCCAACGGCAAGAACGTGCAGCCGCTGCGGATCAACACCGTCCGCATCTAGTGCGTTGAAGGGGGACCGCGGCTCCCAAGAGTGGCCACCAGCAAGAGCCCCGCCTGGGAGACAGGAGACCTGGATTGTGGCCCAGCTTGGCCACGCTGAGATCTCAGGCCGGTTGATTACCCCGAGGCCTCCATTTCCCTGTCTGTATAGTGGAGGATGTGCTCCATAATTCTGAAACTGTCTCCCAGCATTGACGTTATGTAGCTCTGACCTTAATGGGGATGCAGCTTTGGTCCAAGGATGTGACATGGCTTCTCCTCAGGGCAGCCCCTGCCCCACCCTCCTCTTCCTCCTCTCAGGGGCAGGGGACTGTGTCCCTGTGTCTTCCTCCTTCCCACACACCCTGACCTCAGGATGTGTCAGAGGGTTGTCAGAAGTTGGCAGCTGGAAAGATACACAGAACCCTCTTATGGTCCCAGGCCTAAGACTTGCCCCTGGCCAACCTAGTGATGGGCTGTTTTATCCTTGACCCTAACCCATGGTAGACACGGGCATTAGCTAGTCTCCGGGTTTTCTGAGAACCACCCCCTCCTTCCAGCCCTGTACTAAGAGCTTTATGGTTCCTGATTTTCCCACTTATCTGCGGGTAGAAATGATGCTATGGCCTGTGGAAATCACCCAGTAGTTGAGCCCACATGTTACACTCACAGATCTTCAGGCAGGATGAAGGCACACCCGGGGCTGATGTAGGACAAGCATCACTGGATGTTGGAGGTCCCCAGCAGCTCCGAACAAAGGTCCAGCCAGGCCTCTGTGACCAGTCTGGGGTGTAGCAGGGCTGTGGGGAGCAATTGTTTTAGTCAAATGCTGAGCACTGGATGGGCTGTTGACGGGGCCCCCTCATCAATCTTGGCATCTGTCTCAGTTGGGATACTGTTGCAGAAAACAAGAGCTGCTTTAGCTCATTTAATTAGACAAGGATTTATTACCAGGTCCCTAGTGGCTTTGCAAAATCATTGGAAGGGCTGGAGGAGCAGACTACTGAATTTCCAGGAACAGCTCCCAGCCGCCAAATTCATCATGTCTAAGGTGACCAGGGACACTGCTCCCTGCTGCAGGAAGCCGCTGCATCAAGAAGCCACTGGCTGCAGAACTGTGCTCCCTCTGCTGCTGTCTGTGCCAGGAAATGGATGTCCTGAGGCCTGCCTCCCTCCATTCAATTCAGTTTCCAGATCCAGATCTCTATGAGGGATTCTGTTTGGGGAAACTTAAATCAGATCCAGAACTTTGGCTGCAAGGGAGTCTGGAAAATGTACTTTTCTTCTTTCCAACCTCATCCTTACAAAAAGGCACAATAGAAGAAAGCTAGAACAGATGCTGAACAAGCCCATCTACAGTTTTGGCCACTGGAATCCACCTCTAGGCCTTGACTTTGAAGCCACAGAGCCTCCAGGTGTCTTACTGCGTGGCTTTGTCCCTGTCCAGGACAGGAGCCCAGGAAGTGGACCAACAGGACCAGGCTGAAATGGCTCCCAGGCCTTGGCTTTCCTTTCTAGTCTTGGAGCCTAGATTCTGAATTTGGGGTCTCTGACCACACCTATCTCATAGGAGCCAGGTTAGCTGAACCTGGGGGGCTCCCACCTCACAACTGCTGCCCACTAGGGTAGGAGGAATCCTCAGTCTCACCCCACTCATTCAGCTACGGGAATCTGGGCCACCCCCAGCAGTATTTTTATTTTAAATGTTGCCCATTTTGTGAGTTATGATGAATTTGTATTAAATTAAAGTTACAGGCTGTGAGTGGTCAGTTCAATTCATTTTGACAAACACAGACGCCCACCTGTTCTGGCGCAGGCAATGTACGTACATTAGCGTGGCTAATCCACAAAGCAACCCTACTGGGTAAATAGTATTATGCCCATTTTACAGAGGGGGAAAACTGAGGTTCATAGAGAGGACATGACTTGCCTACAGTCCCATGTCCCACACTGGTAAGTGAGTTTAGAACTGAGTGAGCCCAAAGCACATATATCACAACTTACCAGCCAGGACACTTGTCAGCCTTTGCCTGGAGAAGGGTGTTGTAGTAGCCTTGCGAGCAGACAGGGGAGCTCACCAGACAGTGGCGAGAGCCTGGTCACTAGAACCCCACAGACCTAGGCTTAAATCCAGGCCCCATCACTGTGTACCTTTAGAGAAATGACTTAACCTCTCTGGACTTCAGTTTTCTCACATGGAAAATGGGGATAATCACACCAATCTCACACGATTTATTGGTGAGCTGCAAAGTGCAGTGCACTTGGGAAGGCCCTGCCTCTCACTCCAGCTGCCTCCCAGAGTCAGTGCCTGGAACTGTGCGAGTTTTCTGAACCTCTGTGCTGGCTCTGCCCCTAAGGAATCTATCTTCTTCCTTGGGCCATGTGAGGAGTGTGGGACCGCCTAGGCCAGGAAGATCCCCAGGTCTGCTGTGTAGAAGGAGCTCCATCCCACCTCTGACTGATGGGGAAGCAGCCTGGCCAGGTGTCAGGGCCCTGCGTGTGGACACACAGGCTGCACACACTATAAGGAGAAAGGCCACTGGGGCCCCCTGCAGTCATGCAGGGCAGCAGCCTTGGAAACAGGAGTCCTCGGCCTAGTCTTAGCTCTGTGCTGACTCATTTTGTACCCTGAGGGTCCTTTCCTCAGTCTCCTCTCCTGCAGAATGAGGGAGGTTAGATGGCTGCTCCCTGGGGCACCAGGTAGATCTTCACCTATACCTGGAGTTGGAGAGAGAAGAGAGGGACCTACCCCAGTCATTGACTTGGTTAGGGTTCTAGGAAGAGGGACAGGAGGAGGAGGGGTTGCTGGCAAGGGCAGAGGAAGAGGTCTTTGACTGGCTGATGGAGAGCACCCCAGTTTACAGAGAAGTTGTAGAGGGTGATACCAGGATTAGTGTTCCCACCCACCCTCCCCGGGGCTCTCAGATCCCTGTGACTCCCCCAAAGCCACACCCCTCCACTTTTGCTTAGTAAATCTGTCCTCTGCAGAAGCACCCCATCCAATTCCTTCCTTCCTCTTCCCCTTTCCCTTCCCCCACTCAGTCAGCACCAGGTCCAAGAAATGCTGGTCACAGCCCAGTCTTTACTTTCAGTTTCCAAGTGTCGGGTAGTAACTGTTGGGGCCTAATCTGAACACCCAGCTGGGGACTCTGGGAAATCGGGGTACCTCCAAGAAGTAGGATGTGTCCAGAGAATTCCTGAATGAAAGACTCTGGGGTCATCAGCCTCATGCTAGGAACCCCACATTTAACACAGGTAAGCAAAGAGAGGAGGCAAAGGCAGCCCAGCCTTGGAGGGGAAGGAAGGATCAACAAAGATCCCACCCAGGGCAGGAAAGAATTGACAGAACGACAGCAACCACATTCAGATGCCTGTTTGTGGTCAGCAAGCAAAATGCTGGGACTTGTTGCACCTTATCTAACATCAAGACAAGCCCATGAGGTTGGCATCATTATCTTGATGCTTGAGTTGGGAAACACCACTTCTCAGGGAACCCATAGCCAATACACAACAGACCTGGGAATCAGACCCAGGCCTGTACAAAGCTAAAGCCCAACTCTTTACTGATCTCCCTGGAAATGATTCTCAACTTTGAGGACCACTTCAATGACAAGCAGCAGCCACCAGAACTGTGGTCCCCCTAGGATTCAAAGTGGGAGCTTAACCCAGGCCCCACACCATTGAATTATGCAATTGTGAGTCAAGGGGTGGACTCATGAAGGCACCATGTGACACTGAGCAGATCCTCCTTCCTACCTGGACCTCAGTTTCCCCATCTATATTGGGAGGGACTAGGGGTCTAGTTAACTGATTGCTAAGGCAGTAGCTCTGATGGTCCAGGATTCTGTAAGTCTGATGTTGGTCCCAGGGTTTGGCATGCTCAGCACCTAACAAGGCCAATAGCTCTGGGTCTCTCCCTAGGGTAGCAGTAGGAACAGAAAACAGCAGAGATAAGGTCTCTTGCCAGTACAGTCTCAGCTCAGGGGCTCTGGGGTTGGGCCTTCCCTCCTGCCAGAGAGGCCATCCTGGGAGGCTGACTGCTCACACCTGGGCAGCATTCCTGGCTCCCTCTCCTCCTGCCTGAATCTTGGCTCTGTTCACTAGCCCCAAATGCTCCACCAGAAAGTCAATTGCAAAGCGCCATATCACAGATTTAAATGCTGGGGACCAGGAGTGGGGTGAGGTTGGGGGAGGGGTGGAGTGCTGGCCAAGGTGCTGAACTGTCATTGGCCACCGGACAAGGTTATTTCTCCTTACTCTGGGACATCGACAATTCTAGCCAGTGTCTCTGGGAAGGAGGGCATGATGGGAAGCAAAACAGACTTGAGAGGGAAAGGGAGGGAGGGGGAGAGAGAGGGAGAAGGAGAGGGAGAGAAGTAGAGATGCATTCAGGAGGCACAGCCTCCAAAAAAATAGCAGGAGAGGAAAGTCTTTTATTTTGAAATGTGTTCATTTTCCTTTGTTTTTCTTTTCTATCTGGATTAAATTATGTGGATTTTTTTTACCCTAGATAGAGAATAGAGCAGTCGTCCATCTTCTTTCAAAATTTTGACAGTTCTATCATATTTCTGACTATTGCAAAATGCCCCCAATTCACCCTAGGAATTCAGTGAAGTAGGGGAAGAGTTGACACTGGACAGAGAACCTGGGACAGAGAACCTACTCTGATGTCATGACAAGGGAAGGTCTTTCAAGAGGTTGGAGCCAGAGGCCCAGGCCCTGGTGAGCTCCCCAAAACTGCACTGTGATGTGTTCAAGCCTGAATGCTGGAGGAGCCTGAGGGCCAGGGAGGGTTGGCTTCTAGCTCAAGATCATTTAGCATACGGTAGCGCCAAGGCCAGAATCCAGGTGTCCTGGCTCCCAGTAACTGAGGAGGGAGAATGGCCCCACCTAGGCAAGAAAAAGGAGCACAGAGGGCCAGCCAGAAGTGGGCAGGAGCAGGGCTAAAGAGGGTGGTGCTCAGAGGATAAGGACCCCCATCACTAAAAGGTCAGTGGGGTACAGGGGTGCCCTCAGAGTTGGGGACTGCAACTCCTCAGAGAGGAAGAGAAACAAAGCAGAATCAGGAAGTCCTCTCTGCCATGGAGACAGCCCAGCTGAGCATACTGTCCGTCCAGCATCACAGACTCCAGGATGGCTGCTAAGAGACCTCTGATCTTAACCCCATCATTTCACAGGTAGAAAAACTGAGATCTGGATGGGAAGTCAGCAGCCTATGAGGCAGAGCCAGGCCCAGACCCAGGCCTCCAGACTCACAGCCATCGCTCTTTGCATGCAACCTTTTGTCTTCCATTTGTGGATTCTGATGCCTCCTCCCACCCCCTGGGAACCTGAAGTCTGAGGAGAAAGAGAAGGGGAGTGGCCAGAGTGCCCGCAGCCCCAGGCACCAAGAGCTGGGTACCTTTCTCCATCCTCCTCCCCAAAGAGAATGGAGAATTGGCCTGGACCCCAACGGCCCCTCCTCCAGGGCAGAGTCAGTTGGTGCCTGCCCACACCTGGTACCTCTTTTACTGGCAACCAGTACCAGAGCCAGTACCAGCCACAGCAGGGACAAAACCACCTGCGCAGCTGCTGGAGCCACAGGGAGTCACAGGTACGTGGGGACACTGGGGACAACGGCCCAGGGGGTCCCCTAATTCCCTGACACTAGAGTCAGCCCCGGTACCACAGGTGATTTGAGGATTTGGAATTTTTTTCCCACAGAAGGGGTTTTTGCCCCCTAACTCCCTATAAGCTGAGCCCCTGCACCTGCTTCCTCTGCCCACTACAAACCCCAGGCAAAGCCCCTCCATGACCAAGCTGCCAGCTCTAAAATCAGGAATGGGATCCGGGGGCCCATCAGCTCTTCCCCTGCCACTGACAGTAGGGAGAAGCAGATAAGGGCCCCAGGAGGTCCCAGAAAAAGCAGAGACCAGCTGGAGGTGTCTGACAGGTGTGGACTGTGCGTCCAGACCTGGGCAAACCTGCTAAATCTAGAGTGGGCCCGACTCAGTGTCTGACCCACCAGTGACCCTGGACAGCTCTCTGCATCTCACCTTAGGAGTGTCCACTCTCATTGGTTCAGTGAGAGAGATGGGTGGCCCTGGGGGCACCGCCATTCTAAGATTCTATCTTGAGGCAGCCTTGTGGGGTTTGCCCAACAGCACCCCCCTTTCAGTCTCTCTTCTTCTTTAGGGGTCTCCCTCTGTCACACACCTAGAATGCTCCCTTCCACTCCCTTTATTCCTCCATCAACACTTACCGTCCTGTGTTCCCTCAGGGTCACCGACTTCCAGTTTGCGCTGCCTCCCTCCCTGACTCATACACATTTGTAGTAGGAACCTCTTTTAAAGTGTCAACTAGTGGTGGGATTTCAGGCACCACACCAAGCAGGTGTGGGAAAGATAATAGTGGGGAATAGGAAGGCAAAGGGGACTTTTTTTAAATAATTACTTTTTCTTTAATAGTCTTTTTTTTTTTTATGAAGGTACTGGGGACTGAACTCAGGACCTTGTGTATGCTAAGCATGCGCTCTACCTCTGAGCTATCCCCCCACCTCCAGAGAGGGGCAGCACTGCAGCAGCTGTTACCCTGTGGGCACAGACCTGGCTCCCGTGCACTGAGCCAACCTCAGTCCTAGTCTTGACCCAGCCTTTAGCCTTACTCCCCTTCACCAACACCCAACAGGCTAATGGTGACACAACACTGCATTTTTGTTTTCAGGGTCTCCTGGGAGAAGAGAAAAAGCTGTGCATGTAATGTTAGAAACAGAGCATTT